GATGATATTTGCGAGTCTCGGCGATAAAAAGCAAACAAGACGGCAAAATATGGCTGAAATTGTGGGGGTAAGTGAAATAAAATGTGTTATATTTAAAGAAAACAATGACAATCCTTATGAAATCTAGAATAACTATATTAAATTAAGCATAGTTTTTCTTCATTCCATGATAAATTTTTTAGGAAATAAGAAAATTTAATTTCTGCCAGGTATATTAGTTATTTTATGCATAATTAGCAGTTTACCTGGGGTGGTGCATGGTCATTTTCTTGTAAAATATTATACTTAGACAAATTTTTCCTTCCAATAACCACCCCTAAAAGCAACCCTTTTAAACACTATGAGCACGTCAGAAAGGCTGTCGCTTTTGCTTTTCGGAAGTTAGCTATGTCGGCACTGCCGTTTCAGGGCGGGGTCATTTTCAGGACTTTCGTCCCGGATTCAGGTTTTGGCACATATTGCCATGTTGACCGCCTTGATCATTTTACCCTAAAACAGTTGAGATTACCTGTGCTAAATGAAACGCATACAAACTCCTATACAGGTCCTAGACTATTATAGCTAAAGGATCTCGCGTGCGCACGGTTTTTGCTGTGGAACCTGACACGCAAGGAAAAATTCTGACTATCATGTTTTATTTTATCCACGCGAGGCACGAATCGCATCCTGTACGGATGTTGTGACGCATATACTTCCCACGTGATGCGCCATCTTGCGCATGAAATATCGGGAAGAAGAATTGTATTGAACAAAATGATGGCAGAAGAAAATTTGGTCGAATTATGGCCAGACCATCCCGGTATTTATGATATACGCTCAACAGAATTTAAGAAAGAGACAGACGTCGCCTAGCTCAGCTAAAAGCTGTCGTATGCGGCAGAATACTGTAACATTAATTCGCTTGTATCTGAAGAGAAAATAGTTATGACCAGTTGACATTTTCCACTTATCGCAAGTACCAACTTGCGAGCTCGCTGCCAGTACTTACATCCAATTACAATGCTCGACAGTTTATTTTAATTAGATGCAAGTACTCGCAGCGGGCTGGTGAGTCGGTTTTGCGATAAGTGGAAAAGAGCCTTTAGTCCGCGTTTTCCGGCTGAATCACATCAGTCAAAAACTGATCGTCACATCTGTCAAAAACTGTTGTATGCTGTAACGCCCTTTATCAGAGAAGCTAAAACCAGAGAACGTTTACACAATTAACTCATCCTCGTCCCCAGGGCCTCCCGGCCGCGCGCGTCCTTCCTAGGCCCTGGGACACACCGAACCGGAAGTGCAAGTAAACTTGCAGTAGTTTCTAAAGGGCATGCTCTTGAATTGGGACGCTTTAGGACCCGTAACAATTTTCACAGTGACATATGTTGATAGAATAATTTTGCCTAGCGAAAACTCCTCTACTTCTGCGAAATAGCAGTTCTCTGAAAAGCCAATCAGATCTCTTCCTTTAGTCGTCTAACCCAGAGCCTAATTTTCAACGAGTGACCGAGTGAAAATGGCTCTGGGAACGAGAATGCAATTAACTATGAATCCTGGTTTCGCCTCCAACGTTTTTAAATTATTGAACGTTATTTAACACCACGCCTCGGCATTGTTCGCTCAAAGCCCTGAAATTCGCAAAAGCTTTTGGGCATAGGTAATTTTCGAGTTACGCCCTTTTCGAGTTAAGACTCTCACGCGCCTTTCATCTCCCGGTCTTATAAAGGGCGAACGAAAAACACCCTTTTAAAATATTCAAATAAAAAGCCCTTTGAGAGGCAGAGACTGGGAGCAAGTATACCGCCGAGGAAAGGAGGTCTCAACTCGATGTCAATAATCGATTTAGACATTACGGCAGATTTTTTATGCCTACGATTTAGAGATGTTATAATTGCAATTAGTAGAATCGTACTAGTATACCGTATTGCAAATGCTGTAATTTGATTGGCTACTCTACTCGCTATCTATTCCTCGATAAATAGCGAGTAGTAAAACAATCATTTTCCTGGCACATTTAAAAAAAAATGGCTTCCAGCTCGCGTTTTTCTGAGGTTTCTGAGGACGAACTTGATTGTTTACTAAAACAATTAGATTACTCACTCTCGATTTTTATGAGGTGATATATAGTTGATTCGGGTTTCGTCCTTATCAACTATCACTTCATAGAAATCTCGAGCTTGTAATCTAATTGTTAATTATAATGATTGAAGGTAATTTTAGAATTGAAGTTCGACAATTAGCCTTTCTCACGCCGCCATTTTTGTGTGGCCTTTCAGCCGAAGTCTGCGAGATAAGTCCACATAACAGCGACATTTTATAGTTTTAGCGAATGATGATAAATGGTTAGTTTATTTTGAAAAATAGGTACGCTAAGCGTACATGTATCTGCTCATGGTGATTGCACTGTTGCCAAGGGCTTCAATCAACACTCAGTAGCTTGTAAAAAAAATTAAGGGACTGATGTTTAACAGTTGACCAGTTAAATAAAGTTAGATTTATAGTATGTCAGATGAAAGAAAAATAAAATGGCTGATATATATTCAACTTGCAGAAACTAATTCCGGCCATAACTTCACAAAGATGATATTCAATTTTATGATGTTCTTGTTGAATCATCTTAGTTTTATAATTTTCTTGCAGGGATGGATCCAGCATGATCTGATACGGGGGGGGGGCTGCTCGGTCCGCTCTGGTGCCGAGTTGGCGAGTTGTGTCGGTCATGTGTGCCGCCCGCCCATCAACTTACTTCGCTATTGCAAAGTCTTGCTTGACTACAGTATTTGAATTGTAATTGTTGTTCACAGTTTGCCTATCATCATATTATTACTCAAATTTCTGTATCTCATTTTGTCTCTAATAATTTTTGCTTATTATGAAAAATAGGACACCCCTCCTGCTCCCCCTCTGGCCAAGGCTAAGGGGGGGGGGGGTGCACACCCCCCGCATCCCCCCCAGTAAATCCATCCCTGTGTTCTTGTTAAAACATTTCGGGTTCCAAATCTTCTTGATAGTTCATAATAAACTTTAGCAGGCATGCAAGAACGTTGTAGATGCATAGAAGTTGTCAGGATAACAGGTGGTGCCAATATACATTTGCAGAGTTTTGAAAGCCTTTTTATACCATAATTGATATATAACATCAACATTTCTGCTGTTTATAATTGATCTATTTCATTTTAGAAAATGTCATAGTCAGGGTTCATGGCACACAAATCAACTGTTTATGCCTAGTAAATATATCAAATAGGTCATATATTGAAAGTCATTCATCAGCAACAAATGATGACAAGTATGGAAATTAGAAGTATAATCGATGCATATAGTTCTTGAATAGAATGATATAATTCAGCATACCAGATCCATGCAATAATATTTTGTCGTGGAAGAAAATCCACTAAACAGAATATTATGTTAGTTTGGTGCTATGAATAAGATCCCATTATGATATATGGTTGTTGATTATAAGACAATATAGTATAGGATAGGTGAAGGGGGATATATATTGCTTGCCTGGTGTTCTTGGCAATGACATTCAGTTGCAGAAATCAGGGTGGGTGAAGAAGGGAGCAGTGAGAGCACCCCCTCCAGGATATATAGTTATATGCTGCAAGTTGATAATTATGACTGGTTGCAAGTGTTACTATAAGTATTTATATTCCAATCTAAAACTGAATCTCTGCTCTTTATGCGGCTGGTTAATTTTGCAGGTTGCAGGTTGCAGGTTCGCAATTCCCTACATCCAGACGATGAATGAGATCAGTGACTGATCTCCACTTCCGGTTTTCATCACAAACAACTTTATCCTAGCCTGAAAACAGACCCACGTTTATTGGGCTATTCCATTTAATATCCGTACCCCCCTGTCGAGGATACATGTTTTTCATAGTTATACCCCTGAAGAATTCCAAGCTCAAAACCTTTTACCCCTGAAGAATTCCAAAATTCCAAGCTCAAAACCCTTTACCCCTGAAGAATTCCAAGCTCAAAACCTTTCACCCCCGAAGAATTCCAAAATTCCAAGCTCAAAACCCTTTACCCCTAAAGAATTCCAAGCTCAAAACCTTTAACCCCTGAAGAATTCCAAGCTCAAAACCCTTTGCCCCTGAAGAATTCCAAGCTCAAAACCTTTCACCCCCGAAGAATTCCAAAATTCCAAGCTCAAAACCCTTTACCCCTAAAGAATTCCAAGCTCAAAACCTTTAACCCCTGAAGAATTCCAAGCTCAAAACCCTTTAACACTGAAGAATTCCAAATTCAAAACCCTTTACCCATGAAGAATTCGAAGCTCAAAACCCTTTACACCTGAAGAATTCCAAGCTCTGAAAAATTTCAATCTCAAACCTCTTTACCCCTGAAGAATTCCAAGCTCAAAACCCTTTACCCCTGAAGAATTCCAAGCTCAAAACCCTTTACCCCTGAAGAATTCCAAGCTCAAAACACTTTACCCCTGAAGAATTTCAAGTTCAAAACCCTTTACCCCTGAAGAATTCCAGGGATCCTCGACAGGAGGGGTACGGATATTAAATAGAATAGCCCAATTTGCATGTCACTACCTATACGCTGGCACATGACCGTTTGAATTTAATATTCAAAAACATGACGTCAGTTAAATCAATTTATTTCTTGCTAATCTTTGCATTGCTTTTTTATTTTAGTCCAAACGCCAGCTCCTGTAAAGAATATCAATGTTTCACCATCGGATTACTCTGCACGTGTGACCTGGGATATACCTACAGCACCTGAGGACTCCAGCTATATAACACATGTTAGATTATTTCTCAACGGCAGGTATCGAAAGTATATATCACGAGCAATGTATGGAACTGCATTCAATGTTCTTCCACTCAAACCAAACACTGAGTATACTGTTAAAATGGATACTGAAGATGGTTCTTTACAGAGAGGAACTCCTGTCACTACGTCCTTTACGACTAAACAAGCAGGTAAAGATATAGACGAAGTTGTTATAAAACGTCCCCCCCCTCCTTCACTTCCTAAATTCC